GAGTTTGGTCCAGACCAGTTATTTTTTCTAAGATTGTTTCCCCATCCTTAGTAAATATTATACCAGTTCTTTCATTAAAATGCAGTATTAAGGGTGCTTTTTCAGTGTTAGATACTTTATTGAAAAATGTATTGCACAACAGTTGTCAATAAAAGAGACAGTCAAATTTAGTGGATACAGAGTCCTTATTGAAACTATTAGTGCATTAAGAAATTGAAATTATGCTGCAAGCAATATGGTTCCCATTCATTGCCCGGAACATAAATACTGCTACTACAGCAAAAGCTAATGGAGAGAAAGATGTTAGTTAAAGAATGTCCTTGCAGAAGTAAAGCCTTAACTTTTTATAATGTCATATAATGATAAAATTAAGGCACCACAGAGATAGCTGCATCACTTGCAAGTAGAGGCACCTTGTTTTAACATTTTCTTCCTAGGATAAAGGATTGTAACTACAAACGACAATATATACTCATTCATAAGCCAAATTTTTTTAGTAAAAAAGGGAAGCACCAGAGAAGGGGGTCGGCTTATGAACGGGTATAGAGAGGGAGAGGTGGGACACAGCCCCTCCCCCCAACAGAGGAAGCAAGGAGAGGCAGCACAGCCAGGTAAACAAACCATGTCGGCCCGCCAGCGGCTTATCCTGATGGCCCGGGAGCCAAAGTTTGCTGACCCCTGAATTATAGGGTTGGCTTATGAACGGGTCATAAACATTTTCCATTTTTACTTATCCATCTTGGGGGGGGGGGGTGTCGGCTTATAAACGAACCGGCTTATGATCGAGAATATACAGTAATTGCTTTTTTCCCCTCTCCCAGAAAACTTGAGCCAAATTCTGATACTTTTTCAGCTTTCAGAGGGGTAGCCGTGTTAGTCTGGATCTGTAAAAAGCAACAGAGTGTCCTGTGGCACCTTTAAGACTAACAGATATATTGGAGCATAAGCTTTCGTGGGTGAATACTGATCTGATGGTGTCAAATTTGCAAATGAACTGAAGCTCATTGTGTGGCCAGGGAGGTTGAAGTGTTCTCCTACAGGTTTTTGTATATTGCCATTCCTGATATCTGACTTGTGTCCATTTATCCTTTTACGTAGTGACTGTCCAGTTTGGCCAATGTACATAGCAGAGGGGCATTGCTGGCACATGATGGCATATATAACATTGGTGGACGTGCAGGTGAATGAACCGGTGATGTTGTAGCTGATCTGGTTAGGTCCTGTGATGGTGTTGCTGGTGTAGATATGTGGGCAGAGTTGGCATCGAGGTTTGTTGCATGGATTGGTTCCTGAGTTAGAGTTGTTATGGTGCAGTGTGTGGTTGCTGGTAAGAATATGCTTAAAGTTGGCGGGTTGTCTGTGGGCGAGGACCGGCCTGCCTCCCAAGGAACAGAACTCCACTGGTCATCACCTACAGTCTTCAGCTTAAACCTCTCCAATGCATCATCAGTGATCTACAACCCATCCTGGACAATGATCCCTCACTTTCACAGACCTGTAGGAGAACACTTCAACCTCCCTGGCCTCACAATAGCAGATGTAAAGGTAGTCATCTTACAGCAAAAAAACTTCAGGACCAGACTCCAAAGAGAAACTGCTGAGCTTCAGTTCATTTGCAAATTTGACACCATCAGATCAGGATTAAACAAAGACTGTGAATGGCTAGCCAACTACAAAAGCAGTTTCTCCTCCCTTGGTGTTCACACCTCAACTGCTAGCAGAGGACCTCACCCTCCCTGTTTGAACTAACCTCATTATCTCCAGACTGATTCTTGCCTGCATATTTATACCTGCCTCTGGAAATTTCCATTACATGCGTCTGACGAAGTGGGTATTCACCCACGAAAGCTTATGCTCCAATACATCTGTTAGTCTTAAAGGTGCCACAGGACTCTCTGTTGCTTTTTTCAGCTTTGTTCAGGAAATAAGGCAAAGGCAACCTTATTCTGCTCCACCCTAAGCACAGAACACCCCAACCCATGCAAATTATTCCTTCCAGGTTGAGAAGTTACATGTCAGGGCACTTCCCAACTCCTAGACACCATGTTGGAATGTCCCTGCAGAGTTCCACCCTGCGAGCAATTTGTCTGCTGGTTTCAGGGGAAGTGGGGTGTATCCAGAACAGAGGCGGAACACTCCTGCCCTGTTCTCGTTTCTAGCTACTGCTCTTCTTGTGTGCATGGAAGTATAAATTACTTCAGTTTGGTTCTTTTTTGTTTGAAGAGGAGAACTGCTCTATACTTCATGTTCTTATGCTTTAGAAGACGATGACCATAATTTTCACATCTGGGTGCCTACAATTAGACTTTTAAATTGGTATTTAGGCACCTAAATAAGTGTCCTGATTTTCCAATTTGAAATTTCATTGCAATGAATTGGAGCTTGTGGGTGCTCAAATCCTTTGGAAATTAGACTACTTTTATTTATATAAATATAAATTTAAGAACTTAACTTTAGTCACTCAACTTTGAACATTTAGGCCAATGTGTCTGATTCTCCTCTCTCATAAGTTTTACATCAGCTTAACTCCATTGACTTTGGTGCAATTATACTGCTGAATTGCACTAGTGGGAGATTAGAATCAGCCTTAATCTGTTGAATAAAGGTAGACAAGGAGAAGCTTTCACCAAACATCTTTGATTTTTTTATTTAAATTTGTTAAATTATTTGCACACATTAAAAATTAATATTTGACATAGTTATGTTATCCACGGAAATGTTAATTTCTCCAATGCTACACTGGATAAAATATTATCAGAAATAATTTAATTCCTATTTTTCCATGTCTCAGGTCAGTTTATGAATGATAAACATGGCCATGCTAGTCTAATGAATGCACCATGTATGTTTTGTTGACTTTGTTATTTTAATTAAAAAATGAGGCATTTAATTTCTAGACTTATTCTTATTTTTCTACATGTTGATGCCCTGACTGACTATGTTATTGCTTTCCTAGTCAATTACTGTGGAGGTTGCCATTCTAGAAAGGCAGCCATACAGATTAACTTGATCACTATTTTACACACAATTTAAGAGAGGCTAAACCAGGCAAACATGACAGGCATCACTGCTTGAAAACATGAAGCAGTTAAACCACCTGTCATCTCAGCCATTAATAAAGCAAGTTAAAGAACTAAGGGAAATAATTGTCAGGTGCACATCGGGTTTTCATGGAGGGTTCCATGCTGCAAGGTGCTCAGCAACTCCTGGAGGTGCTATTGAAATCACTTGGAGTTGAAGGCACTCAGTGCCTTGCAGAATTGAATCTATACTGTGTAACTACTGTAATCTTCTTGGGTAAATATACTGTAGCGTGCCTGGTTTGCATACCGCCACTCGTCTTTCCCTATCCTCCCATTTCTATCTCTGTGTTTCTTTTCTGCCAAGCAGGCGATGCTTTTTCCTACAGCATTCCTAGTAAAGACAAATCTACAGCACCACCAAATTCCTCACAGCAATACTTTGCCAGAAGAGCTACAATTAAATAGAGATTGAATTCTTTGCATACTGTGTGTACTGAGGAGGGTGCACCCCTTAGCTATAGTTTCCACTTTGCAACGCATCAGTCAAGATGGCCAGCAGAGACAGCCTCCTGTGTAGGGAACTCTCTGCTGGTGGAAGTGGCTTCACCATCCTTTGACTGTCCTCCCTCAGTCATCAGGGTAATGGGAAGAAGATGGCATTACAGAGGTGGGGTAGGGCATGGAAGAACAGCAGATCTCTACTACTCCCAATCCTCCACTGACATAAAGCCTGAGGGTCCTTATGCCAGTGTTGTAAGTTACAGCTGTTCCCTTGCTCCTCTAAGATATGCGAGGGCAATGTGGTTTAAATTAGGGGGACACAACCAGCTCTCTGACAGCCTCCTCTTCACTGTACCGGAGCAGAGCTCATGTAGGATGGAGAATCTGGCCCCATGATTTCTATATCCAGCTATACCACTGAGTAGTTGGGTGACCTTACTCTAGTTACATAACCCTCGATACCTCAGTTTATGTCACTGTAAGTGGGCCTAATAATATTTATCTGTTCTTTCGGGATGTTGTGCGGCTTATTTAAGGTCTGGAAAGTGTTTTAATATCCCTGAATATATTTATTTATTTGCTGTTGCCGTCACTCTTCATAAAGGGAGTATACATGTAAATCCATATTAGCCTTTTACAAATGTATGATTTGTTTCTATTATGCAGAAAACACTTGCTGTTTCTGAGCATAACTACTAGGTTAAGCAAACAAAGCACTTTCCAGTAGCCTGGCCTTGCCATATCTACTTCAGCCAATTCCAAATGATGTAGGCAGTACCATAAATTAGCAATGTAAAACATCTTCTCTTCTGATCTCTATAAGATACAGATGGTCACAAAGAAGATTTCCCCTCCCCCTCAAATATAAAAACACATCTGCTGAGTGAATTACAAGACTTCAGTAGGGTATTAAATATATAGATACCAATAAAGCAAGGTTTGATACTTGTCTTGGCACTTGCATGAAAGGCAAACAGTTGCATATCGTACAGTACATTTAATTCCTACAATATCTACAGTATATTACTTTGCAAACAATATAACAGGACCCAATTCTATCTCCCTTATTTATTTTGAGTAGTATCTTCACTTCTTGAGAAGTGATGACGTTACTTATGTAGTAAAGTATTACTCAACGTGAGTAAGAGTGGCAGAATCAGGCACATAGAGACGCATTAGCAGCTGTTATGTTAGTTCAAGGTTTCTCAGACTTTTGTACTTTTCACATAGCAAGCCTCTGAGTGTGACCCCCCCTTATACATTAAAAACACTTTTTTATATATTTAACGCTATTATAAATGCTGGAGGCAAAGCGGGGTTTGGGGTGGAGGCTGACAGCTCGCGACCCCCCATGTTGTAACCTCACGACCCCCTGAGGGGTCCCGACCCCCAGTTTGAGAACCCCTGTGTTAGTTAATTATGCTCATAGCACTTTGTTGCTGGTTTCTTAAATGTGTTTCCTTTGTCACTTTTCAGGATTTGAAGGTGAAAGTCTCCGTCCTCCAGCCAGTCAGAGAGTGGAGCGTGGCTGTGTTGTTTTCAGAAACATCATGCTTGCACCTCCTCCGGCTAATTATCAACCATTCATGCTTTTGGATGAACTAAACAAAGTAAGAAGACTTCATTATAAAACATTTTTAATTTGTTCCAAGCAAACTGGACACTTTATCAGCTGTCTCAGTTCCCTCTATAAATCAATACTGTTAATTCATCCTTGCAAAATCATTGGATAATTATACAAGCCCAAGCACCAAATCTGCTCTTCCATTGTGATGATGTCGATGGGGAAAAAAATAACTGCTTTGCTCTCACATAAAGAAAAATGCCGGCCATGAGCAAGTCAAATTTGGCAAGGCAAGAATAACTAATGTTAATTGTTAGTTAGTGTTTCACTTCCTGGCAACTTTGTCCCTCCAGATGCCCATGTTAATCAACAGCAGCAAAAGAGAGCAACCGTGAGTTCTTTTGAGATCTGCAGAAATTTGGTGCACCATAATATTTTTTCTGATATAAACAAACAAGTAATTAGTGATAATATACCTAAAAATGCAGGGAGAGACTGGTTTTCCACACTATCTCCAGTGACACCTTCCAAATGGTGATATTTACGGAGAAGGCGAACACATTCACCTACATGTTGAACAAAAGATAATATGAGACCATGATGGTGACCCACTGTTTGTTTGTTCTCATTTTCTAAATATGATTTGCAAGTCCCCTGAAAAGCCCGTGTAACTTCCTGCAAAATCCTACAGTAGCTAATACTTACTTGTCCTTTTGCAAGTTTTTGGAAAAAAGAAATTACACATGAGCTCATAGTTGGTGTGAAGTTCATACAGATTACTACAATATTAACAAAATATACGGCTTTATATGTTCAAAGCATGGGAAAAGACACTCATCTCTGTAGATTTTCATGTGTGTTCTTGACTCACCAGCAGCTGTAGAGCCAAAATGAAGAATCCAGAGTATTGATAGGATACTAATGGTGTAAAATTGTGGACTATGTTTGAGGAGGATAGTCTTGTGAATAAGATGCATGACTGAGTCTCAGGAAATCTGGATTCAGTTCCAGCTCTGACAGCAACAGTGGCAAATCTCTTTTTCTCCCTCCCTTTGTCTGTCTTGCCCATTTAGGTTGTGAGCTCTTCAGGGCAAGAGCTATCTTTTACAATGGGACATTGATCTCAGCCAGGACCTCTAGGCGCTGCCCTGATAGAAATACTAATAATAAATAACCAGACATGAGCCAGGTAGACCACTCTTCCATATAGAAAACTAGAGTAAAACTACGGCACAAATATATCATTTTTTCAATGCAAACAGTATTTTGTATGAATAGGTAACTACCAAAATCATAACTTTTTGACTGGTTAAAACGCTATCTTTAGATTAGATTTGAGCCATAGTAAGATATAATGCTGAAAGTTCCTGAAATCTAATTGACTGTAAACTAACCTTAAATAATTGTAATGTTCAGTTGCTAACTATAATGTTTCTGACGATAAAAAATACAAGATAACATCTCTCCTGTGACAATCACTAGAATTAAAAAAAAGAAAAAATATCTGACTCAGGTAATGCTCCTGATCATAACTTCCCTGGCTTTGCAATATATCCCTGCAGGATGGGACCCAAAACAAAGTATCAGAAAAAAAAAAAGACAAGTGAAACTGATCAACCTTTCAGCCTTGTCAAATTCAATGTTACCTACAGCAGTACAAATAGGCTCTGTATCACAGTATAGTGTGAATGTGGAAAAATATTTAAAACAATGATTCATTTTCTTAAGACTTCCAAAAATAATTTCTCCTACTCTACTGATGCTTTAAAAATATCAGCCCAATCAAATACCAAGAGCAAAATTCTGTGATCAGCCATAATGACTTTAATGAAGAAACTGAAAAGAAAACATTAATTTAAAAAAGTGAAATGACATCTGTAGGGTTGCACACAGAGGTAGCATTTGGCCTGCTGTGGTTTATAAGATACCTTTAAAAGATGGTAGGATCAGGACCAATGGCTTGAAGCTAAAGAAAGAAAAGTTCTGGAGAAGGTTCTTAATAGTTAGCACTGTTGTGGCCAGGACTACACCAAAGGAGGTGGATGAGACTGCATCGCTGCAAACAGTCATGTACCAATGAGACAAAAACTTAGTGGGAATAAAGTAGGCAGATTCCTACAAAATGCAGGAACAGGGTCAGACTACATGATCCAAATTGTCTTAGATTCTTAAAAATACAGAGCTGTATAAACTGTCATTTCCCTTACTGTGATTTGCCTAAGGGAAATGTAAGGGATGTTGATTTTGTAGGTGTTGGGGGCCAAATTTTGCTTACAGGAATAAATATGTGACATGAAGGTTATAGCAGAATCTGGAGCATATATGCAAATCAAAAGCCACCAAATCCAAGTGATGATGATTTTGCATTAGTAGTTATTTTCAGTTATGAACGCAAAGGAAAACATTAGCACATCATAAATTACAACTCCACTTTTTGGCAGTCCCCTTGAGCAGTGCAGAAATACATTTTCCTTTTTCCGCTCTAGAAAGGAGGCAAAAAGCCAAGTGGAAGGATATCTGCTGAGAAAGCTGAGAAGATGACAGTCTCACAGGAGAAAATTGTAGACAGCAGGTATGTGTGAATCAGTATTTCTGCTGCTCAGCTGGGGGATGCTTTCCACTTAAAGCAATGCTTACCTTCATGCAGCAAGCAACAGGTGCTTCTATGATGTGAAATGACTCTGTTTTCTCTTTGTCGACCACTGCCATAATTATCATATAATATTGCCTTTCACACTTTACATCAATATATTTCTAAGGTTTTTATAATTTACTTCGGACATATACATTTATACATATTTGATTTGGATGTGACAGTTAACCGAACTACACATCTACCAGGGCACCTTGCACAGGAAGTGTGTGTATAGGTTTTAACTTCAAATCTGTTTCTAGAATAAACTCTTTGAAATGTCATAAGTAAAGGAGGATTAGATCATGCTTCTAAAATTGCTCTCATATTTAGCAGTCCAGACATAAAATCTATGTTGTCCACTTTTTATCAAGGTGGTGATGATAATGATGATTAGAAAGGAGGGCAGGGAGTGATTTAGAATAAACAAATCTATGTTAAAAAAAGTGTCTCCTTGAACTATGTGGCAAGTAAAGTTTTTCAGAGCTGCTTTGGACAACAGTGGTCATGCAGTGATCATATTTTCTTATGGTTCGTGAGGTGAATTGGGGAAAGAAAAGGAGAAGTACTCTTTCAAGCTCTATACTCCCATCATTCAAAATGAAACTTCAAATTGAGACTCTGCTCATGCAGATCTTCCTGGCATGATTGTCATTCTCCTGCTTTGGTCAGCAATGAAATAATTAACAATGTTGATGTTTAATTTGTCAGCTTGATAAGAAATATGGCACTTCTGTCAGAGCTATTAGTTCAGGCAGAGATCAGTGCATTAGTTTATCTTGACATAGTGAAACAAATGTAATCTTCATAACCATGAGGCGTAGAAAGATTTTATTTTATATGAAGATCTAGATTCTGGAGCAAATTTTCTGCAGCAAGGGATGGGCAAGGGATAGATTCACTGGCTGGGGAATCACACAGTACACATAACCCTGATGATAGCTGCTTTGTGTCATAACAAAAATAATTGTGATACCATAAGGAAAAATCAACAAATACATCATAATGTATTAAAGGAAAAGCAGAGGAAGCCAAGCAATCTCATTGACTCCCAGTCCTTTGGTTACCCCATGATAGCTGTACTGGTTTCATCACTGCAAAGTTTTACTATGTCTTCAGTATCCAAAAGTAATTGTTGAAAAAGTTTTTCCAATGTATGTCATAGAAACATCTGTGACAACATTGAGGCTGCCTACTGTTTCAACCCCCTGTTGTGCTGACTCTGTAGACAGTTCAGAGAATCAGGACACAGCAGCAAATGAACCACAGACACAAGGGACAGATTTTAAGCATCAGGCTGCTACTTTATTAAATTAATGCTGGGGCACTGTTTGCCAACCCCTATTCTTGCATACCCAGCATTTAATGGGGTCCAGTGTGGTGGGGTTACAGGGTCCCACCATGTATAAATTGGTGAAAATCCTTCTCAGCCTACCCCTAGGCCTCAGCTGACATCTGAAACCACACCCCTATGACTACCAAGGGGTGATCTCAGTCCACGAAGACTTAAGGTTTCCCCTTCTCCTACAGGCACAAGGTCCACCACTGAAATCCCAGGTCTCAGCTCTAGGAGGTGGCCCTTTTAGCCTTTATCCACACTAGCCACTGGCTACAAATAGTGACAAGTTTAACAGTCTTACCTTTCCTAACATTAAATTTTCAAGTCCTATTCCTTTCAACCCAACTGGGCCTCCATGAGGCTGCAGGAAAGCTGAAAAAGCCCACTGAATCTAGGTCTGTTTGGCCTAACAGAAAAAATTCTTTTCTGATCCCAAAACAAGTGATTGTTCAGACCCATAGCATCCTGAAAAACTCAGCTCCTGTGCTACAACTAAGTGGAGGGAGGACAGGACAGCTAAAGGTCCAACAGGCCTTTGAAAAGCCAAGTAGAGTTTAAATATACCTGGCTGACAGGCACAAGAACCAGTCAGCCATCCTGGTCCCCCTAGCCTCACCAATTCGCTCTCGCCTCCCCCGCTTTCAGGGTACTGTGTCTTATTTCTGCTGGTCCAACCCAACAACCTCTCTTGGGATGGGCACTTATTATAGAAGACCCAATATTTATCCCCAAAAGGCATTTTTTGTCTCATCAGAGCTGAGATTCAGTGACTGTAAAACAAACCTCTAATGAGGAAAAACAACTTTTCCCCCCCCACAAATGCCAGATTTTCTGCCAAGCAACCATCACACAGACAAACCAATAGGAGAAATGAATTATCCCTTACAACATCTCTTCTCTGAATACCCCAGCCTTTATTCTGCCCCATTGGTCTTCCCCTCTGACCGTCTTGGAACTGTTTTGAATTTTAGGGCTGTAGGCCCAGGAATATCAGAAAAATCAGTAAAGACAAAAGGGTGGAAGTGTCAGTCTTAATATATATCTGTTCAGGCAGTCATAGTACGATAGTATTTCTGTTTGTGTCACTCATAGCTGGCAGCCTTCTGTTTATGATAATTATATTTTTCTTTCCTGTTCTAACTCTGGAAGACATTCTCTAAACAACTATGAAGAGCTTTGGAGAGTTTATAGCTACATTAATCTTTTGTGTGTCTTTGTTTAGATGTAAAGAGGAGATCACAGCCCATGTTTTTCAGACGTAACTGTAACCTTTATCTGTATGTTAAAGAGGGAAAGCTCTTACGCTCTTGTTGCTGAGAGTATAGATATTCTGTGTACTATGCATCATCAATAGGCAGTGTAGTGATTATGTTAAAAGTTGAAAATGTGATGATAGAATTTATATAACTGAAATTCTGGCTCTTAACAAAGAACACATGACACTTACCTCCTTCTTAGATCAAGGTGATCCATTTCAGTACAATTGAATTCTGGCGTCTTATCAGCATTTGGCTCAGTGTGTATAAATTGCTTCAGATGTTTGTTTGAAATCTAGAGACACTAGTAGAAATTGCTTCCATTAAATAACAATGTCATCTTCAGAATACAAAGCCATGGGTTTGATCCCTGTTGCTTAGATGTGAAATAAGAAAGAAATTTAATTACTATTTCTGGCTTTTGCATAATATTATGCCCCTAGAAATAGCTTTTTTGAAAGGAGTACCAGAATATGTTACATTTGTCACGTGCAAGCAAAAGCAATTTTATGGATAATTTATTGTCTTTTTGAGATTTTCATTTAAAAGAGAAAACTGTAATATGTTCTGGACTTCATTTTTCCTTCAACAGCTTCACCCTACAGATGTTCTTGCCCAGCTGACCCACTGGAAAAACAATATTTAAATGCCATGACTTCTTACCCAGGAATAATTACACAATAATTTCAGTACAGTGAATCAAACTTTCCTTTGAGTTCCTTTGAAAATGTAGCAGATCAAGAATCTGGTTTCTCAGTGCCATCTAATCCATTTGCAACCCTGAAGGCAAACACTAAGCCTTTTCCATATTCTATCCACGGATGTGACTGCATAAATGCTGTGGTATGAGACAACAGCAAATTAAACTGCAGCAGAAGCAGCAAATATTAGGGGAAAATGAAAACTCCTGACTCAGAGGAGCTGGGCAATGACAGACTCCTCATTATAGATCTTTTCATATGGAGAAGAATGACTGATAAATGAGGTTGCTGTGACATAAAGAGGATGAGAACACAGTTGGACGTTCATGCAAAAATTATGCTTTCTGTACAAAACAAATAGAAGAATGGGTGATATCTAATTTGCATCTCTTCTTATCAACAAACTGATTAAGGAGACATCTTCTGGAGCAGATGGTAAAGTTGTCATCTGCAAGATTAAGATACCATGTGTACCCTTTTCCACTATTTTGGTTGTGATGGAGGTGACATTAGCTGTAATCTTCCTGTTCGTTGCCAGTCGTTTACTATCTCTTTAAGGGATTACAGTTGATATACATGTAGTTCTTTAAAATCTTGACATTAGGGAAATCTGCCATTGCCCAGAATCCTCCTACCTCTTTCTATTACTGAAGAATAGCAACGCATAAAATAACTATCATGGAACCCCGTCTTGCATTGTCTGCTCATTCTAGTAATTACATGAACAGCTCCATTGACTTCAGTGTCAGTAAGAGTTGCAGGATTAGCCTCTTTGTGATTTTCAGTGGCCTCTAGATATTGAACAAGACACTTCATCATGACCTTTCAAACTGGTTGGAGTGCCAAAATCTTGGAGTGCCAAGGCAATGTAGCATGGGCAACAAAAGCTATTAGAGGCATGGAGAGACTTCCATATGAAGAGAGATTGAAAAGAAGGGGGATTGTTTTGTTTCGAGAGGGGCTCCTGTTTACTCTTTCTCATAATACCAAAGCAATATTCAATACAATTTAAAGGCAATTAATTTGAAAATGATAAAAGGATTTTTGTTATTGTACATAATTTATAATTAACCCGTGGAACTCCGTTGCCTCTGGATATTACTAAGGCCAATGAAAAGGATTAGACACTTATATGGATGTTGAGAACATTCAGTTACATTAGATAGAATTTTTAAAAAGTGTAAAATGAATATTCAGGAATTATGCCAACTCATTCATTGGCACTTATTGAGAAGAAAATTCCCTTAGGGCAGGTTATTTTCTATAACTGTCCACTCTCCATTTTCACCAGTAGTCCCCAAACTTTTTACCTCGTGCCTCCCCTTACCTCTGTCCATTTTCCCCCCTGCCCTCTGGGGCCGGGAGCAGGGCCGCAGCTCTGGAAGTGGGGGACACAGACAGGGTAAGGGGGCTGAGGCTGGGGACACACCTGGGGGCAGGGGCAGAGCTGAGGCTGGGGGCCAAGGCCAACAGCCAGGACCCCGGGCATGGGGCCAGCCTCAGAGCTGGATGGCACTCCCTCCCCACCCCCCATGCAGGCTGGGCTGGGCCCCAGCTGCGACCCCCACCCCACCCCAAAAGTTCTTCCATGCCCCCGTAGAGGGGCAAGCCCCACAGTTTGGGGACCTCTGATTTTTCACCTTT